TTATTATTATTATTATTATTATTATTATTATTATTATTATTATTATTATTATTATTATTATTATTATTGGTTCTTTGGAATGAGAGAACAGGAGTTTCTGTATATCTATTGTGCGTTGGAAATCGAAATTTCCGATAGAAAAAAAAATTTCAATTATGAGAGAGTGTGAGGAGAATAAAATATAATAATAATAATAATAATAATAATAATAGTCTTTCTGTTCTGCAGATATCCTCTTTATCCTATTTTTCTTTTCTTTTTCTTTTTTATCTTCTTTATTCATATTCCTCTCTTAGCGAGACCACAGAAAAAAAAAAGAAAAAACTCGTACGGAACAGAAAAGAAAGAAATAACAGTGTATCAGAAATAAATCACAGAACAGAGAGTTCAAAAAGAAGGGGGGAAAAAAAAGTAAAGAAAAAAGAAAGAGAAGACAGTATTTCAACTCTATCTATTTATTTAATCTATATATATATATATATATATATATATATTTCTCTCTCTCTTCATGGCTGTTGTGCCTCCCCCATGGGAGGAACTCACACCGGATGAAATCTCCAAACGACTCGCTGCCTTCTCATCCCTCTCATCACCGACAGATGTGCGTTGTTGTTATTCCCCTCACGCGGTGTATTCCACCGGCAGTGCCGTCGTTGATGAGATGCTGCCCGATGGCGGTTTGGCGTGCGGAACAGTGATGGAAATTATTGGGCCACCAGCCGCGGGAAAGTCGCATCTCGTTAGGCGGATGATCGCTGCGTTTGCCGCTCGTGCGGCTTTGCAGTGGACACCAGCAACTAGATGTTGTTGTAAAGATAAATGTGATTCAAAAGAAGATAATGAAAAAGAAGAAGATGATAATGAAGAAGAAGAGGAAATGGGAATAAATACATGTACACCTCGTGATTGGTGTGTATTTCTTGTTGTCTCCGATTCATCCTCACACAGTCCACATCATTTATATGAATTGTTAAAGAAAGCTTTTCTCTCAGCAGCCGCACGAGGTGTACGTTGCTGTTCTTGTTCTTGTTTCCATCATCATAATAATAATAATGATTATACCAACCCCACAGGGTGTCTCCGTCTAGTATTAGAAAAAGTAAAGATGGTGACCTTTTCATCACCAAATGATTTATTAATCTTCTTTCGTTATTTAAGTCGTGTAGAGTTTACTGCTGATCATCATCACAGACGACGACGGCGTGTATTGGTAGTCGTAGACAGTTTGGCACGTTTGTGGGAACATCCTGCCTGTGGGGCGACTGTTCATGCACGTCATTGGATGGCCGCGGAACTCGTGCGGGAAGTACGCACAGCCATTGCGGTTGGAAATGGATGGCGACAACCACCGTGTGAAATAGATAGACACAGAGATTTAAATACGGATGATCCTATTATTATTATGATGAATAATGATAATAATAATAATAATAATAATAATAATAATGGGAGTGGGAGTAGTGGTGGAGTGGCGATTGTATTTGTGAATGGATGTAAGAATATGATAAATTCTCAAACTTCCACTTCACGTGTTGTTGAGAAGAAACCGCTTGGAGTGCCTGTTTGGTGTGCGGCGGCGGCAGATGTTCGTCTCTTTGTAGAGCCCATCACTGCCCCAGATCCATCTATATTGTATGAGAAGAATTATAGTGAGGAGACAGAGACACAGTCGTGTAAGCATAATGTACACAAGATGATGAAAGTCTCTCTTGTAAAGGGAGGTGGGAGTATATCTTCTTCTTCTTCTGTTGTTGTTGTTGATAAAATTGCAGTGGTTTAAATAGTTTCTTTTTCTTTTTTTCTTTTATTTGTGTGTGTATGTGTGGGAGTGGATTATAAGGGAAGGGGGTGGAGTTGGGAGTGTGTTTATATATATATATATATATATATATATGTCTTTATCACATGCTTTATCTGTTTTTTTTTTCTTTTTTTAATATTTTGTTAATATTTCTGAAAGTCTCTGTTTCTTTTCTTGTTGATGATAATAATATTAATGGTTTGATTCTTTTTTTTTCTTTTTTCTTTTTGTTTTCTTTTGGAAAATTTTCCTTATCTATATATATATATGGGGATTCTGTTTCTGTCGACAAACAGCGAAATAAACAAAGAAACATACAGATTAGCGAATTAAAAAAAAAAAAAAAAACTCTGGAAATGTCTACACCCGTTCAACAATCCATGGCGCGTCTCCGCACAAAAATGTTATTCGCCGCGAAATTATTCCCCGATTACAACTTCCGCAGTTATTTTGTACGGCACGTCCGCGAACAATTCGCGGCAATGGAGCGGTGGAGTGTGGAGGAACAACAGCAATTCCTTAGAAAAGAGGGAAGTAAACAATTAAATGAAATGCGACGAATGGCGATTACAAACCGCATGTATGCATCTCAGCCGGTCTTTTTAGACAAGCGTGGAACTCATCATCTCGCACAGGCCGAAAAGAAGTAATTGTAATAGTGAGGAACAGATTATGATGATGATGATGATGGCTACTCTAAGTGAATATATATATATATATATATATATATATATATATGATCTGTTTGCTTGTTTGTGTTTCATTAACTCTATTTATGAGAGAAAACGGAGCGAAAATTTTTATCTAGTCTTTATATTTATATATAAATATCTGTTTATCTGTGTAATGTTATTCCTTTATTATCTATATTCTTCTACATGGTACTTCTGAGGTTTCTTCTTTATTTATTTTCCTTCTTTCTTTGTTTTCTCTCTCTACTTGTATTTCGCCGCCTCATTATTCCTCATTAAGGTACATAAAGGAAAGAAGAATATAAAAAAGAAAAGGAAATAAACTTCTGGAGAATACGTGTAATGTCAAATAGTTTTCTTTCCATTCTACCCATTGATGCCTCTCTGTGGTGGTTGGTGTTTACACTCTGCGGGGCACCTGTCTCTTCTCTCTTCACAGCTGGATTGACATTTGCCTTTAGTCTTCTAGTGAGTGCCACGATGCCAATGAAGTGGATGGATGTTCATCGTGAATTACTAATAAGTAATGGAGAAAACTTTACTGCAGAGAAAGAGGGAAATTCTTTACAGAAGCGTAAAGAGAAGAAGTACTCCACTGAAGTAGTACAGACATTTATATTAATGATTGCCATTCTGTTTGGTACGGTATTTACACAATTAGATTGGGCTGTTTGGTTTCAACAATGGCCATTCCCGGCGGTAGTTTCTTATGTACTTGTGCGTTTAATCCTTGCAGTAGTGGCGGCGAGAGGAAATAGGCGGATTAAATCGAAAGAGTGATGTTTATTACTATGATCTTCTTTGCTTTTACTCTTCTTATTGATGTTATTATTATTATTATTATTATTATTATTATTATTATTATTATTATTATTATT